TTCAGGACAGGTACTTGCTGAGATTACGCACAGCGTGCGCAATGTCCGGCCTTGAGGCTGAGACCAGATATTGTAGTGCACCAACGAGCTCTCGGTACGGGGGCGGGGAGTCATCTTTCGCATTTGTGACCACCTCAGCGCGCAGCGCTTTCGGTGTTGCAACCGCGTTGCAACCCTCCATGTGAAATCGCTTTAGCACCTCCGTAATATGTTGCCGCTGGCAAAATACCGCATGTCGACGCTCGCTGTCGATCAGTATCTCCACGCCTAGTAGATACTTGACCGGTCCGAGAGATGTGAGTTCATACTCCTCACTGAGTTGCTTAGCAACCTTAGCGCAAAGGTCACTAGGGCCGAGGAGCAGTAGGTCGTCGACGTACACCGTGAGCAACATGGTGACTTCTCCTCCCACTTTCCTGGCGTAGAGTCCGTAGTCAGAGTCGAGGCGCTCGAGTCCGATCTTCGTCAGGAACTTGTGCAATGTCTTGTTCCAAACGCGAGGCGCTTGCTTTAGCCCATACAAACTCTTCTGTAGCTTGCATACGTAGCGCGTAGAGTCTTCTCCGAAGCCTGGAGGCTGCTCCATGTAGACCTCCTCGTCGAGATCACCGTACAAGAACGCGGTCTTGACGTCGAACTGCAAGATGGCCCATCCGCGTTGCAGCGCGTATACGATCACGCATCTGATCGTCTCAAATCTGATAACAGGTGCGTATGTTTCACTGTAGTCGATGCCCATGCGTTGTAGAAAGCCTCTGATCACTAGTCGAGCTTTATATCGCTTAATCCGGCCCGTAGAGTCTCTCTTGAGCGCGTACACCCACTTGCACGAAATGACACGCTTGCCCTTGGCCTCCGTGCGTCGCACGAGCACCCAAGTTTCGTGCTGCTGCTGTGAGTCCATCTCGACTTGCATCGCTGCTTTCCACTCCTTTCCACTTCTTTGACCTTGCCGCATGCATGTGACTAATGGGGGATCTGCACATCATCGACGTTCTGCTTCGTCACATTCGTCACTACGTAGTCCTTGAGTCGGGCGGATGGTTGTAGCTTCCGCTTCGGTCGCGACGTAGCTGCACTGTCGTCTGGCGACGACTTCTGCGTCGTGCATGGCTCCCAGTTCTCGTCTTCGTGAGCATCACGTCGACTGTCCTTGGCCTTCGAGGCTCCCACTCGATTTGCACATGCTTTCGCCTTATTCTTGCCCTTTGTGTTCTTCCGCTTGGAACCTCCCACTGAAGCTGCTGGCTTCTTAGCGTCCTCGCTTGGTAGCTGTGGGTCATCACTTCGAGTCGCAGACTCGGCTTCAACTTCAACACCTTGGTCCTGGCTCTCACCAGCAGTGGCCAGCTTCGCCATCTCCGCTGCTCGTTTTTCTGCAAGCTCTG